ATTGAATTGAATACTTGTACTAAGACTTGTTTCCTGGTTCAGAGTATGACCTTTCTGGATCATTGCTTCACTTGCACTGGAATATTAAGTGTATTCCATATTGTTGAGTGGAATGTTCTATTAATGTCAGTTAGATTAAGTTGGTTGGTGTTGTTGTTGCATTTTTAGATTCTGTTGAGATGTTTCTGACTCATAGTAACCCTGTACACAACAGACTGAAACACTACCTGGTTTTGTGCCATCCTCAAAATTGTTATGTTTGACCCCATTGCCCATTGTTTCTGCTACTGTGTCAGTCCATTTTGTTGGGGGTCTTCTTCTTTTTCTCTGACTCACTACTATTTCAAGCATGATAATCTTCTCCAGTGACTGATACCTCCTGACAACATGTCCAAAGAATGAGAGACACAGTCTTGCCATCCTTGCTTCTAAGGAGCAGTCTGGCTGTACTTACTCCATTACAGATTTGTTTGTTCTTCTGACATTTCATTTGTTGTTCGTAAATGTCATTAAGTTGGTTTTGACTCTTCAGTGACCTTGTATAAGGTTTCCAAGTAGAAGCTGGTGGGTTAGCAGTCCAGTGCTTATCCTATTGTACCACACCAGGACTCTGTGGTATTTTCAGTATTCTTTACCTACACCGTAATTCAGATACATTGATTCTTCTACATCTGCCTTATCCATTGTCCAACTTTCTCATGCATGTAAGGTATTGAAATACCATAGTTTGGGTCAGGCTCACCTTAGTCCTCAAAGTGACTTCTTTTATGTCTAATCCTTTAAAGAGGTCATGTGTGGCAGATTTGCCTCATGAAGTATGTCATTTGATTTCTTGACTGCTGTTTTCATGTATGTTGATTGTAGATCAAAACAAAATGATTTGACAACTTTAATGTTTTCTCCATTTATCATATTATTTACTGGTCCAGTTGTGAGGGTTTTTGTTTTATTAACATTGAGATGTAATCCATAGCAAAGGTTGTGGTCTTTGATCTTCGTCTGTAAGTATTTTAAGTCCTCTTTGTTTTCAGTAACCTTCAGTAAGCAAGATTACATCATGTGTGTATCACATGTTGTTGATAAATCTTCTACAATTCTGATGCTGCCATCTCCTTCACATAATCCAGTTTCTCTGATTATTTGCTCTATACACAGATAGAATAATTGTGATGAAAGCATACAACTCTGGCACAATCCTTTCCTTATTTCAAACAATCCAGTATTCCTTTGTTCTGTTTTAACAACTTCCTTTTGTAGTCTGTGCACAGGTTCTTCATGAGCACAGTGAAATGTTTTTGAATACCTATTCTTCGCTGTGTTGTGCATAGTTTGTTAATGTCCACACAATTGAATGCCTTTGTATATAGTTGGTTAATTGTTGTTGTTGTTGTTGTTGTTGTTAGGTGCTGTCATTTCTGACTCATAGTGACCCTGTATAGGGGTCCAAGGAGTACCTAGTGGGTTTAACTGCCAGCCTTGTGGTTTACAGTTTACAGAGCTGATTCTACAGCATGTACCAGGAGTTGGTTAATGTTGCTGTTGTTGCTGTGTACCGTTGAGTTGGTTGCAACTCATACCAACCCTGCATAGGGTTTCTGAAGGGTAGCTGATGAGATTGAATCATGGACCTTGCAGTTCAAACTGACCTTAAGGTCGAGTGCTTATCCTATGACACCACACCAGGACTCCTTAGTGATGCTTTTATCTACTTGATTTTTAAACACAAAGTGAAACCTAATAGAAGTAACAGAAAGAAGAAACAAAAAACAAAGTTATACTCAAGAGATTTAATTCTTTCTCAATAAATATTGAATCAAGTAGACTAAAACATGTACTGATGCTTTTGTGTACTTGTTTCATTATTTATTGGGAGAGAATTATTGAAATCTCTTGACCATAACTTTGGTTTATATTTCTTTTAGCTTTTGCTTTTTTTAAATTGAGACTGTATTATTAGATCATGTATATACTTAGGATTATTATTTCTTCTTGGTAAAGTGAATTTTTAAAAAATATGTAATTTACTTTGTATCTCTGAAAATATACCTGGATTTGAAATGTACTTATTTTCATATTTATATAGCTACTCTAGCTTTCTTTTGATTTGTGTTTGCCTGGTATATATTTTTCCATCTTTGTGCTTTTAACTTACTTATGTCTTTGTATTTAATCGAGTTTTTTGTTGACGCAGCATAGTTGGAGCTTTTATTATTTTACATGTTTTGGCAAACTGTTTTCATTGTGTTTAGACCATTTACATTTTAATACAATAATTAATGTGAATTTTTTTAAACCTTTTTTTACTCCTGTGTTTGAATATTTTAAAATGTTCTGTTTTATTGTATCTTTAGGCCTTATCACTGTTCTTGTATAATAATTTTAGAGATTATCCTAGAGATTATAATGTCTTCACTTTCACAGTGTACTTAATTTATCCATTCAAATTAAATAATGAACCAATATAATTATATTGATTCCAGTAACCTCTTCCACTGTAGTATTTTCCTCCATTTGCTGTATTTTTATTTGTTACGTATTTTTAAAGGACATTTAGAGAAGACAAAGTCTTACATTTTTCTAGACATTTACAATTTATTTTGCTCTTCCTTTTATCCTGACGATTCATATTTTCATGTGACATCATTTTTTTCATCTTGAAGCGTTTTAGCATTTCTCATTGAGCTGTTTTGTTATAAATACTTTTTTTAGTTTTCTTCTCAGAATGTCTTTATTCCTGCTTAATTTCCTAGGAATATTTTTTTTGTATGTAGAATCCTGTCAATATTTTGAAATGTTGTTTGGTTCTCTTTTGGACTCAAAAATTTTTAACAAGAAATTTATGGTCATTTGAGTATTTCTTTGCTAAGTATAATGTGCTTTCCTTCTGTACTTGCTTTTAAGGTCTTTTCCTTAGCTTTTTCTTCACAGTTTCAATAGGCTGTATTGATTTCAATGGCTTTCTTTGTAATCACCAAATTTGAGTACTTTTTGCTCCTTACTTAAAAAAAAATTTCCACTTATGTTTTTCTCATTGAATTTTTGGTGCTAGTGATAAATATATTAGACTTTTTTATGTTGTTTTCTTTGAAGTGTCATCAAATTGGTTCTAACTCATAGCTACCCTGTACTGTATAGGTGAATATGAATCATCAGCCTTAATGTTCAAACTGATGCTGTGATCAGTACAGCACCACACCAGGACTTCCTTTGATAGAGATGCTTTACATTTCCTTGTTTTGTGTCTTCTACTGGTTTCTCTGGAGAACTTAAACAATGATGCATGTATATGAAGGGATTTTAAAAAAATGTATCAGAATATCCCAACTCCTCCCCCCAAGAGATTTGTGTGTTGGATAAATGAAACCCTGAGGCTTACATACTGTACCTTCATTTCTTTCTGCCTAAATAAGTCAGTAATGGTTGATTATAAAATCCTGGTTTGATTCAGAGTATTCATGATCTATATACAGGACTCTTGGTGTGGCGCTGTGGGTTAGTGCGTTGAAATGCAGAGTTACTTTGGACAGCAATGTCAGAGGTTCAAGCTCACCAGCCACTCCTGGGCAATCCTGTAGAGGGTTGCTCTGGGTTGAAATTGACTCGACGGCACTTAAACAACACCATCAGGCAAATTGCAGACCAGAGCATTATCTTTAACTTAGAAATGTTAGTTTCATACAGTTCTTCTTTGTAGGGAAAAAGCTTCTGAGTTTGAATACACAATCACCACGTTCCCTACAAACATGAGTGCCTTTAATTCAGAATTCCAAATGGATACTGACTGGAGTAGAAATTTTACTTTTGTTGTTAAAGTGGAGTCAGTTCTACTACATAAACAACCCTGTATAATCTTCCAAGGAGTCACTGGTGATTGGTGGTTGTGTGCCATGGTTCTGACTCAGATGAACTCGTATAGGGTTTCTGAGGCTGTAAATCTTTAAGGGAACAGAAAGCCTCATCTGTCTCTCATGGAACGTCTGGTAGTTTCGAACTGCTGACCTTGAGTTTAGCAGTACGACTCATAATCGATATGCTACCAGAGTTCCTAACGAGCCACAGATGGGTTTAAATGCCAACCTTGCTGTTAGCAGTCCAGTGCTTATTCTGCAGTGCCACACCAGGATCAGTAGTATACATATAAATAAAGCAAAGGGAAATAACCACATGATCATATTGATTGATGGAGAAAAGGCATTTGATAAAATTCATCAAACATTATTGAAAAAAACATGCGATAAAATAGGAATTGAAGGGAGATTCCTCAATATAATTAGGGTATACATGGCTAACATTCCTCTTACTGGAGAGAAACTCAAAAATTCCCTTTGAGAATGGAAAGTAGACAAGGATGGCCTTTATCATCATTCCTATTCAATATTATGCTAAAAGTCTTTGCTATAAGGCAAAGAAAGGAAATTAATGGTATCAAAATTAGCAAAAAAGAAGTAAAACTCTCTGTATATGATAGGGCCCTATTTTTACATAAAACAGCACAAAGACTCAGTAAGAAAATGTTTTCAACTTATTGAAAGATTCAGCAAAGTGACAGCATACAAGATCAACATATAAAAATCAGCCAGATTTCTTTATGTTAATAAAGAGAGCTTTGAAAAGAAAATCAGGAAAACATTACCATTTACAAGAATCACCCAAAAGATAAAATAATTAGGAATACATTTGACTGTAGAAAATTCCATTATTTTCCACCAACTTTTTGAAGCCCTCTTGTATCTCAAGGAAATGGCTCATGAGTTTTGGAGGCTGTCAAATGCCAAATCATTAACATTTCTGATTTCATATATTGGTCTTCATTAAAAAGAACTGTGGTTTGTGTGCATTTGGTGGGTTTTCCTATTTCAGAGTTGAGTCTTAAATTTGTTGTATCATACTTTAGATTAGGTTTATAATATGTAAGAAATATGTGTATATAAATTTATGTGTAAATGAAATCTTTGCTTTTAAATTATGTCCTTAGAATGTTTCTATTTTTACTCATTCAGGGTTATCTATAAGCTTCTGGCGTCTAAAAGCGAAGGAATAAGAGTACAAGCTCTTAAGGCATTGGGTTATTTTTTAAAACACCTGTTACCAAAGTGAGTATGTATGAATTCTAAATGGACTGTTGTATACATGTTTGTTTTAGAAATCTTTTGAATAGCATTTGTATTTTGTAGTTCCTCTAACCTTTTTTCCACTTTATTCCTAATATGCTGAATAAATGTAATAGTGTAGTTACCTACATATTTACCTACTGTGAGCAGCAGTATGTAGTTGATTTTACATGAAAATTATCTAAATAATTTATTTTATGTTCATTATGAGAATAAGTTTAGGTAAACTTTTACTTCATCATTTACTATACCTTTACTGTAAAACTGCTATGTAACCAGAGTGTTTACCATACCATATGATGTGCTATATGTATAACTACAACTGAAACTCCCCTTATTTTTTCGTAGCTGAATACATTAATGCCCTATACTTTTGTTAGTCATAGCAGAATTGGTTTAGTATAAAACTAAACAATTTTTGGTGTACAACAAAATTGTTGGGAAACTGTGATGCTTGGGTTGAGTCTGGCTGGCTGCCTTTTTAATAAACAAAATTTCATTCCGATTCTGTCGCAGTCATTTGTGTATGACTAAGGAGCTTTGGTAGCATAGTGGTTACGAATCGGGATGCGAACCTTAAGGTCAGCAGTTTGAAACTACCAGCTGTTCCACGGGAGAAAGATGAGACGTTCTGCTCCTGTAAAGATTTACAGCCTCGGAAACCCTGTACAGGGTCACTATGAGTCGGTTCTGACTCCACGGCACATCACTACCACCACCACCACCACTACTTTTGTAATACACTGACAGAGTTGAGTTGCACATGGTCCACAAAACCTAGTTGTTTACCATCCAGCCCATTGCAGAGTAAGCTTGCTCACTCTGGTGGTAATAGAATTAAAATGTGTGATTTAAAATTTTTAAATTTATGTTTATGGGTTAGATTCATAATGTTTGTGTTCTAAAGCTCTCTTAGATTTTTTGTGTTCCTATATATTGCATTTGTGCTTAACTAATTACTGTGTTTTAGATTATCCGCACTAAAACAGAACTTAATACTTGAGAATAGTGGCAACTAGTTGAGTTAAGTAATTGCTCTAAAGATTTTGGTGCGAGTTGTTTGTTTTACTGTGGTTTGGCTAACCCTGTGTTGTTGTTGTTTTTAATATTAGCTGTGTTAATGTCATGGTTAGTATTTCTTTATTTAAAAGTTTTGTAGTCTTGTATAGGTGGAAGAAAATTGGGGAGAATTTTTGTGTTGAAATTTATTGATAATGTGAAAGACTTTTTGCATCTTTAGTCAACATTCATGATTAATACCACAGAGTTAAAAACTCTACATTTAACCCTTTCTTTTTCTATAATTGTAGGAGAAAAGCTGAAGTTATGCTTGGTCATGGATTGTTTTCATTGCTAGCTGAAAGACTCATGCTTCAGACAAATTTAATCACAATGACTACATATAATGTCTTGTTTGAGGTAGGAATAGTTAGAATCTAATTTTATTAATTTCTTTGAGCATTTCATTATGAAAATACCTGTATGATATTGCTGACAAGTAAGATCATTTAAATTTGTGATCTAAAATTTTGAAATTACTATATTAAACATATGTTCCTGTATTTTTATCTTTTAATCTATGAATTATTGAACAAGGTGGTCATTTGTGTTTAAATATATATATATACTTTTTTTTTTTAAGTTTTTATTGTGAATTGACTGATAGTTTACATGAGAGAGCATCAGCTTTAAATTCATCCTATTATATTTCATTTCATTGTAATGATTACAATCCCCTCTATGCATCATCATTCAATAGCATTTGCTTCCATTCCCTTTTTTTTTTTTTTTATGTATACTGAAGCACCCATTAAATACATCTTGCACTGTGTTTGATTTCCTATATTATAAGTAAAAGGTGAATTACAGTCTTGAATTTGGTAGTTGTATATTATGTAGAAGATTTTTGACATGATGCCATCTGACTGCATACTAAATTTTGATTAGTATTACATTTGAAGTTGATTAATAATGATGCTAATTTAGTGGTTCTACTAATATGATTTATTTACTGTTTTCTATAGATTCTTATAGAACAGATTTGTACTCAGGTGATACATAAACAACACCCAGATCCAGATTCTTCAGTAAAGATACAGAATCCTCGTATGTATTTTATATACTTTTAAAATACTACTTTAAAAAAAAAATCACTATGGAAAACTTAAAATTGATATTGTTGGAAACATGTAGATGCATATATTACTAACAGCAATGATATAATGGTTTTAATGTTATGTTGAATATAATGTCCAATTGACCTTAGGTTATATGGAAATGTTTATAAAGATTTTGAAGAATTATATGCATAAGATCTTGATTTAGTATATTTTCAGATTTTCAGCAAAGCTCTGAATGCATTACTTAGTGAAGTCAGACTGAATTACATGAGTCATAGACTTAGTTTTCATCTTAAATTACTGTGAATATAGGAATACAAGCTTTAGAGTGGAAAAATTATGGTCTTGATTGTTTAGGAATGTATTCTTATTGAATAATCTTTTCTTTTGATATTTAGAACTCTTAAGCAGTTGTACAAAGAACACTTCTTTCCACTTGCCTTTTTAAAAATTATGTCATTAAAATAACTGGTTTTTAGAGTTTTGAATTTAATTACTTTTTATGTGGTGAGTTGTGTTTGTGTGTGTAGTACTCATTTCAATGCTAGTTTTAAAACTACTCGAGTCTGTAGTTTAAGTTTTCCCCAGCCTTCAGAGAGACATCATAGAATTTTTGAGAGTGAGAAAAGAGAAACCCTTGGTGGCAGTATGTATATATGTGTGTGTATAATATATATATATATTATAAGGAGGATGAGTAAGAATTTAAAAAAAAAAAATTCTACAGACTATTTGGAATCAGAAAAGAGAGGCAGTATACAAGGGAGCTTTAGAAAGTTCATAGAAACAAATATTATCTTTTAATTCCATTTTTCTACAAACTTTTTGAACTCCCTTTGTATATATGGTGGCTAAAGGTCCCTGGATGTTGCAAGTTGTTTGTGCTTGTTTACTAATGTCTCACCCCACCCAGGGGCACCGTGGAAGAAAGACCTGATGATCTGCTTCTTTAAAGATTGTTGTTGTTAAGTGCTATCTAGTTGGTTCCAACATTTAGTGACCTGTTATAGGATCAGCTGATGGGTTTGAACTGCTGACCTTGTGGTTCGCAGTACATTGCTGATCCTACAGTGTCACACCAAGATTCCTCTTAAAGATTACAAGTAATTAAACCCTGTGGAGCAGATCTACTTTATAACATGTGAGCTTGCTGTGAATTTTAATCGACTTGATGGCAACTGATTTTATTTTGTATATCGTTAAAGATATAGGCAGTCTGTGTTGGAATACTTGTTACATACTTCTGAAATTTTGGGTAAATTAATGAATTTCTTTGTGCCTTATCTTTAAAATAGAGATAATAAATACTTACTATATAAGGATTAAATGAACTCATACTTGTGTTTTCTTAAAATGGTCTTTCGTGAAAGTTAGTGGTATTGTTACAATAATTGTCATTATCATTAACATGATACTGTTGGTCATCTTTGTGATCCTTCAGCTGGAAAAACTTTGACTATTTCATTAGAAGAGTTTAGAAATGGAATCATTGATTTTTATGACAAAATGTCTTCCAATTTGCTCTTATAAAAAAATAAACAGTTGCTTCAAAATAGGCAAAACACTTGGCAAAAAACTGGTTTAGAATTCCCTGATATTCATGTAATTAAAATTTGATCTGTTATTCAAGTCTAAATTCAGACTAATAGCTTCTTTTTTTGTTTCTCCTCTGTAAAATTTTAAATTGAAGGTACATATTTAAAAGGAGTTTTTTGTTTTTTTTCCCCAAAAGCTTAGTACTGGAAATTTAGACAATTTTATACTAAGATCATTACAGTAGCTGTTTTGTTTTACTTTGTTAGGGTATTGAATATGTTTTTAATTTCCTTTGAGGTTTTTCCCTGTAATTTTACTTTTTAAATTGCAGAAGAAAATCTCAACAGCTTTTAAATTCACTGTGATAAAGAAAAAGGGCTATGTGCATAAAATAAATATATTGAAATAGCTGAGAGGTTATTCTCTGGTTTAGAGATTTTGATCGCATTGGGTTCTTTTAGATCAAGTATGGTGAACTGTCAGAAATTTAATTAATTGATAATTTGACATGTTTTATTTTAATTTTACTTTGGTCATTCACGTTACGGAATAAAAGAATCTTTTACAATACATGCTTGCCGATTAGTACACTTTCAGTGTTTTCTTATGGATGATTTTTTTTTAATGCTGAAAAGAAGACATTTATGTTGGGGAAACTAAAGAAATTGCAATGTATTGGTGACCTTCTATCAAGGAATTTTTGTTGTGGTTTGGTTTTTACTTATTTATAAACTGTCTTGCAGAGATACTAAAAGTAATTGCGACCCTGCTTCGAAATTCTCCCCAGTGTCCAGAGAGTATGGAGGTTCGCAGAGCCTTTCTTTCTGACATGATTAAACTTTTTAATAACAGTAGAGAAAACAGGAGGTAAGCAGAATCAAAAAGCATTTATTTGCAGTATTCAAGTCTACCTTTGTGTTAACCATTTTGTCTAAGAAAAACTACATTAAAAATCCTGTGAATTTTCCATTTGCATATTTCATTAAGGTTATATAAGTCATGTCCTATACTGTTAGGTTAGAGTTTCCAGTACCACATATTTCAATGCATATAGATAATTTTTTTTGTGTTTAAGTATTTGCTTTTTAGAATCCTTTCAAATAATTGTTTGTTTTTTGTTGTTATTCAATTACTTCAGTATACTCTTATAATTTTCAGGAGCTTGCTGCAGTGCTCTGTATGGCAAGAGTGGATGCTTTCCCTCTGCTATTTTAATCCCAGGAACTCAGATGAACAGAAGATAACAGAAATGGTATATGCCATTTTCAGAATCCTACTGTACCATGCAGTCAAATATGAGTGGGGTGGCTGGCGTGTGTGGGTTGACACTTTGTCAATCACACATTCCAAGGTAAGTTTCTTTATGAAAGTTATTTTTAGCATTTTAAATGTCTATGATTTAGAGGATGCTGCTGTTAAGTGCCACTGAGTCGGTTCCGACCCATAGTGACCCTGTATAGGGTTTCCTATGAGCAGCTGGTGAGCTTGAACTGCTGACCTTGCAGTTCAAATGGCTTTGCAGCCTGGCACATTAACTCACAGCCCCACATAGTCATTTAAAAAAAATCCAAGTTAATAAAGGCAGGTGATTCTGTGAAAGTGCAATGAAATGAACTAAAAAGAGAATCACTAAAAAGAAATATACATGATTTCCAAATTCTTCAACATCACAATCAATAGATTTAACTTTGTTAAACCTAATGCCATAGCATAAAGGAATTTAGATTTTCACATGTTCACAGACCTGTTTCTAATAGTTGAGAGCTTTTGAACACAAGGTGGCGTGCTGTGTTCAGAGATGAGAAATTCTTTAATAATGTAAGGTGGATGAATAAACGGATAGGTCTTGCCCATTGCTATCCTTTGCTCATGTTATAACCAGTTAAAAAATTGATTTGGAGAAATATACCAGTTGCATGTTTAGTTAAAGCCAATATAAGTTATATGTATGTATGTGTATATATATATAAAAGGTTTAAAAAATAATGTACTTACCACTATTTAGGATATTTGTTTCCCTTTCCTGATTGCTTCACCTATACTTCCTTGCCTCTGCCACTAACTTGAATGTACGAGGGTGAGTCAAAAATAATCCACACTCTGGCTGTAGAATTTATTTGAATCAACTTTTAGAAAAGACAAATATATAATTTTTTGACATAGTCTCCTTGCTTTTCAGTATACTTTGTCCATCTGTCAGCTAGCGTTCATATGCCCTTTTTAAACAATGTTTTAGGCTGATATGGAAGCCATGAATGCACCACTGTTTTCATTTCATCAGAGGTGACTCTTAGTCCTCAAAGTGCTGCTTTCAGGAGAACAAACAGGTGAAAATCTGATGGAACAAGATCAGGACTATAGGGAGGACGCTTTAACACCTCAAAACAAAGTTTTTGCAGAGTGTCAACGGTGTGGGTAGAAGTGTGCTGACTTGCATTGTCATGCAAGATCACAATGCCCTTGGATAGCAGTGCTCTGCTTTTAATCCAAAGTTTAGGCTTCAGTTGTAAGGAGCACTGTTGATTGTTAAACTCTTTTCCTGATAGTGCTCCAATACTGGCCCATGAGAGTACCAAAAAACAGAAAGCATCAGTTTTCCAGCTGATGGTTGACTTTTGTACTTTTTCTTTGCTGGCAGTTTAGGATGTTTCCCTGCCATACTCTGCCATTTACTCTCCGGCTCTCGTAGTGATGAATCCTTGACTTGTCACCAGTAACGATTCTTTTAAAGAAACTTTTACCTTCCTTTGAGTCCATTTCTGTTTGCAATTGTCCGAATGCTTCTGTTTATGCTCTTCTGTGAGTAGTTTTGGTACTCAATTTTGCACATACTTTTCGAAGCACAAGTCTTTCGTGGATTATTTCATAGGCAAAACCATGGGTGATCTGCAAATGATTTGCCACACAATCCACTGTCTCTCCTCTGTTCAACAGAATCATTTCACGTGCCTGCTCAGTGTTGTCATCAGCCAGGGATGTGAATGGTCATTTTAATATAAACGAAGTGCAGACAATATTTGATTCACCCTTGTAGTAAAAGACCTTTTATTTAAGGTTTTTGCATTCTACACCTTTTTAAAGGACTCTTCTTTACTAAGGAGTAGTAAAAAGGCATCTTTCACTTTGACTTTCCTTTAACCTTTAATTTACTAGAAAAAAATGAACAGAAATGATAAATTTGGTATATTTTGAATGTTTTTTCTTGTTGACGTTGGTCAAAGTGGTTGGTCCGGGATTTTATAATGGTTTATAAGGATATCTTCAGGAGTTCTGTGGTGTTTGACTGGTGGCTGAAAGGTCAGGTGTTTGAACTTAGCTGCTTTGCAGAGAAAGACCTGGTGATATGCTTCTGGAAAGGAAAGCCTTAGATCCAATGGGAGCTTCTTCTCTTTTCTATAGGATTGTTTGAGTTGGAATTGAGTTGATGACACACAAGAGCAACAGTAGTAACAATAAGAATATCTTAGAGTGAAAGGAATCAAACCAATTGTCCTGCAATTGATTGTGACTCGTGTTGACCCCCATGTGTGTCACAGTAGAAATTTTTTTGATAGAGTTTTCTTTTCTTTCTCTTTTTTTGTTTGTGAATGGTCATTTGGGTGAAAGTTTGCAGATAAAATTTTATTTTCATTTGACAGTTCATACATATATTTTTTTTTTTGACATTGATTGCAACCCCCACAATGTAACAGAATTCTTGTGGCTTCCTTCCTGGGCTTACCCTATCATTTTGTCCTTTATTTTTATATCTTCATGCCTTCTAAGCTTTGTTCTTGTTGTTAAGTGCCATCAAGTCAGTATTGACTCATAGCGACCCTGTATAGGGTTTCCAAGGAGTGCTTGTTGGGTTTGAACACCTGACCTTGTGGTTAGCAGTACAGTGCTTATCCTACAGCACCATACCAGTACTCCTTCTCATATGTTGCCCTCTTGTCTCCTATGGTTGTTTGTTCTAAGGAGTGCGTAATCTCTGGTAAAACTGTTCACCTTATAGACTTGATCATTTGACTAAAAGTTGATCCACTAGGGTGAGTTAGTTCCAGACTTGAACTACAACAGTTATGTAATATCATCCACATTATATTATTGCATAAGGTTAGTTGTCCTCATGTGTTATTTAGGCTTAAAATCGAAGTTCTCATCAGTAAGGATGAAAAGTTTACACTTGTTCATATATTCCGTAGCACTGTGACTAGTTCCTGGTATTTAGAAGGTGCATTTGAAATAGTGGTTGGAGGAAGGAATAGGAAGAGCAATGCCATCATTTTTTAGGGTTTTTTTTAGTTCAATGGAGGGTTGTCTTATCTCTTTAGTTTTCTTTGATCCTTGGTCTGGGATGGGGTTGGAATAGCTGTCCTGTAAAGCATCTGTGCCAGCATCAGGCCCAGTGTGAGGCATCATTTGGCATGTATATTACGTTGCAGATGTCTGTGTCTTACATCACACTCTGAATCTTATGGAGAGGGTCCCAGAAGTCTATATTTTAAGACTTAAAATAATTTCTTCTTGTTGTTAGGTGTTAATTTGATGAATTAGTTCTGAATCATAGTGACCCTCTGTACAACAGAAAGAAGTACTGCCCAGTTCTGCACAATCCTCACAATTATTGTTATGTTTGAACCCATTATGACTACCACTGTGTCAGTCTATCTTGTTGGGGAACTTCCTCTTTTTTGTTTATCCTCCACTTTACTAAGCATGATGTCCTTCTCCAGGAATTTATCCCTCCTGACAACATGTCCAAAGAACGAGAGCCACAGTCTCGCCATTCTCCCTTCTAAGGAGCGTTCTGATTGTACTACTTTTAACACACATTTGTTTGTTCTTCTAGTAGTCCATGGTCCTTCCAAGTTTTTTCACCAACACCATAATTCAAATGCAGAAATTCTTCCATGGTCTTCTTTTCCATGTCAAATTTTCATATACTTACGAGGCCATTGAAAATACCATGGCTTGGGTCAGGCGCACCTTAGTCATCAAACTGGCCTGTTTGCTCTTGAACGCTTTAAGTGGTTTTGTGCAGCCTAATGCAATATATCTTTTGAATTCTGGACTGCTGCTACCATATGAGTTGATTGTGGATCCAAGCAAAATAAAGTCTTTGACAACTTTAATCTTTTCTCCATTTATCATGACAGTGAGGATTTTTCTTTCTTTACCTTAAAGTGTAATCCATACTGAAGACTGTAGTGTTTAATCTTTATCAGTAACTATTTCAAGTCCTCTTTGCTTTTTTTTAGCAAGCGAGGTTGTATCATCTTAATAACACAGGTTGTTAATGTGCCTTTCTCCAATCCTGATGCCATGCTTTTCTGCATATAATCCAGTTTTCTTGGATTATTTCCTCACCCTACAGATTGAATAAGTATGATGAGAAGATACTACTTGGTACACAACTTTCCTGATTTTAAACCACTCATTATCCCCATATTGTATTCCAATCACTACCTCTTGGTGTATGTACAAGTTCCCCATTAGTACAATTAAGTGTTCTGTAATTCACATTCTGTACAATGTTATATGTACTTCATTGTGATCCACCTAATCAAATGCCTTTGTTTAGTCAATACGGCACAAGTAAACATCTTTGTGGTAGTCTCTGTTTTTAGCCAAGATCCAGCTGACATCAGCAATGAAATCTTCTGTTTGAAGTTTGCTGACGATGTACTGCTGCAACTGTTTTTGAATTATCGTCAGCAAAAATTTTCTTGCGTATGATATTAATGAAATAGTTTGATGATTATCACTTTCCATTGGTGCAAATTTCTTTGGAATGGGCACACATATGGATCTCTTCCAAGTCACTGGCCAGGTATCAGTTTTCTAAATTCTTGGCATAGATGCGAGATCGCCTCTACTGCTACATCAGTTTGTTGGAATATATCACTTTGTATCTATCAGTTCCTGCCCCCTTGATTTTTGCCGGTATCTTCAGTGTAGGCTGGACTCTGTCCTTCTTTTTGATCATATGCTACTTCTTAAAATGGTTGAGCATTGACCAATTCTACAGTGACTTTGTGTATTCCTTTCATCTCCTTTGATGCTTTCTTCATCATTCAAGATATATATATGTATTTTAAAGTTTTTGTGAATTGAGGGAAAGTTTACAGGGCAGATCATCAGTTTTATATTCAACAAATCATATACTTTGTTTCATTACAATGATTATAATCATCTCCATGTACCATCAGTTAACAGTATTTCTTTCTATTCATTTTAGCTCTTTTTTTTTTTTAAACACTCAGGGATATATAATAATTTAAACCACCAAAAGGCATATTCTGTAAGCTTGCCTCCTAGCCGCCAGCTCTCAATCCCTCTCTTTCCATGATTCTAGAATCTTCAGCTTCT